CAAATGGTTGATATAGATGTTGTGGTTCAATTTCATCCTTGGTTCAAATTTTGTTTTCTTTTGTTTTTGTGTATTGTAATGTATGATAACAAGTTTGAAACAAAGGAAAATAAAATTTGAACCAAGGACAAAATTGAACCACAACATAGACATTCTTTTATGTCAACTAAGTTCTTGGCATTGGAATATCCTTCATTTTTTCTGTCTCTCCTCTGCAAGTTTGCTAGTTCTCAAAATTAGTGGATTTTTGGTATATGCCCAAAATAGAGAAAAAAAAACTTGTCAATGCTCATCGCAATGTCCTGTTCTCAGGAGTAACAACAGGACAACCTGAGATCTGGTTTCTTGATCGTTCACTGGAATGGTGGTATCTTGCTTCATCTTTCAATGATTATTTCAGAATGATGATAGTACATCTTGGCCCTCCACTCTGGCAATATCTTTTTACTGCAACAGGTCTAAGTCCAGAAACAAAGGTAGGCATAACTTAATTTGTGATTGCCCATGGACTGAGTGGTAAATATGACGTGTTGTCGGAAGACTGTCAACACCAGATGTTCTAATTCTCTCAACTTTGAAGTTTATGATAAAGGTGTACTAACACAGAGTTCAGCAATCTTTTTTCTCGAACTTGCTTGAGCTTTTTTCCTTGGACTTAATTTTCCTGTAAGACAAGAATAAATGTTGCTTATTGTTACAAGAAGCAGGAGCCTTGTTCTTCAACTCTCAAGATCTGATTCAAATTAGAATTCTACCTTTTGGTTAATATACATTTCCTTGTAAATCAATTAACTAAAGAGAATTTGGTACTATATCAACTGAAGATAACACACTCTTCTTGATAACTTAGATTATTCTTATCCCTAAGTAGCTGGATGATGCAGTGAAAGTACAAGGAAAAGAGACAAGAAGACACTGATTTTATCCATGAAAATTACTTATTTCAAAAGTTCCAGTCTTTCTCGTTAGAGAGGATTTGAATTGATAGAACTCTATTGTACAGAAAAAAATAACAAGAACTTGACCATTCCATTCTATAATTCTTATGATGTTAGTTCTGAGAATTTGGTATTGGATGAACTAATACATATAATCCTTTGATTGATATATGAATTTTTTAAATTCTCATCACTTGTTTCCTTGATATTGTATAATATTGTAAGGAAAAATTCTATCTTGGTCACTCATGGGAGTGAGAGGGTTATCAAACATATCTACCTTGTGCGCCATGTTATATTATCACTGTTACTTGACGATAGCTCATCTGAACTGTTGTTGATTTGATGTGAGCTATTGAGCTATTGATAGTTCACTGGTTGGTACGGGCGAATCACTATCCCCGTCAGTGGAAACTGATAATGATGATGATGATTTGTGTCCAGATGCCAGGCCTGATTCAGAATCAGATGAATTCTCATTATCATTCTCTTCTTCTGAATGAGACGAAAAGCCCTGTGATTCTTCAGTATACTTGACTGTTCTATTTAAATAAAAAGTACAGTCAAGGATTATAAAGGGAAGATGGCTCTGCAGCCAATGCTAAATTCAAATAAGGCTCTTGTTTTCTGAAGGTAACTGATCTTCTTGCTAGCTGTTTTGCCCTCTTAAAATTTAATTGTAAAGGAATTTCAGAGTTATGGGTAACCCAGTCTCCTATATCTAGAATGGCTGTGAAGGAGAGTGGAGGTAACTTATCTTCTCGCTAGCTGTTGTGCCCTCTTGAAAATGATTAATTTCCAAGGAATTTCCGAGTTATGGCAGAGTTCTAGGTAACCCAGTCTCTTCCGTCCTGAGAAGGGCTGCAAAGGAGACTGCAGTCTCCTTTGTTACCTCCAGCTGGAGGTAACTTCTAGCTACAGTAGCTGTTGTGCCTCTTTGAAAGTTACTAATTGCAAAGGAATTTCATTGGGACTCACCACCCAAGTCTCAACACCCATTTTTCTATTTTTTAAACTCAAACCTCCTGTCATAACCAGAGCTCTGAAATCAACAAAACAACTTTTAACAGCGAAAAATCACTTTATTGACTTAAATCAACTATAGTTATTAACATGTTAAGATTATGAGTAAGTACTATTTGATCAACACTAAAACTGAGAGATCCTTTCTGTAACTCTCACAAAGCTTTTTTCCAAGGTTTTTGTGCATTTGGAAGCAAGAAAAATTTTCTAGATAATTAATTTCTAGTCGTTATCAGGCGCAAACGTCCTTTCTTTATGCCAAGTATAGCATTCTCCCCCACTTTAGTAAAAGAGTACAAGAGCCTCCTGAAAAGTTATTCTAGACTTTGGCAGAAAAAATGACTATCTAAAAAGTGAATAAAGTTTAGCGTAATTTGAACGTGCCATCACATGAAGTATTTAAAAGCGCTAGTACCCTGATTAATGGCAAATGAATCAGATCCGAATTGATTCAGTCTGATAACTGAGACGGCTCCCACGCTCAAATAGGCGCCCTCCCCCAAATAAGCGCTTACTAGGCCTTTCTCGTTTGCACTCAGCAACATTTGAGCGACTTTTAGCGTCTAGAGCAATTTTTTGCGGTTCTAGCCAACTCGAGCAATTTTTGCCTTTCTGAGAATGTTTTTAACATAATCAAGGTTTAGAGCACATATCAAGCACGAAAAAAACTTCACATAACCTATTACTTGACATCGTTTCGCAGGCCTATTGCGATCCTTATCTGATATAATTAGAACGGATAATTGGCTGAAATGAAGCCCAAAAAAAATCCATCTTCGTTTCTTTATTTTCCAGATTATTCTTAAATTACACCCATATTTGTAAGTAACTTCTTAAAGCTAAGTTTCAAGCTATATTTCTTTTCGGATGTTAGAAATTATTGTGTAGAACGAAAAATAAAGCTTTTTATTACTGTCTACAAACAAAATTTCAAGAAATTTAAGTAGCAACTTTATTAATATAAGCAATTTTTTAGCAACTTTTTGACATTTCAGAGAGCAACTTTTCAGCATTTTGCGAGCACAATTGGGACAGACCTGGCATCTGCTCCCTTGCCTATAAAATCAATTTGTATTGCCACTTTATATAGAACTTTTTAAGCTTCAGCTACAGTGGAATTAGTACAGGTTAATAGATTCCTTACGAGCGCCCCCCCTCGAATAAGCATCCCTCTTCCGATAAGCGCCCCTCCCTTTAGCCAAAATTATAAGTAAGCGCCTGGCAGATGCTTATTCGAGGAAATACAGTTATTGAAATGTATATGAATATGGAGAACCAACTTCACAAATTTTTTTTTGTGCAAAATACGAACAAGTGCAAATTCTTTACCTGTTTATTTATTGGCCAATTGGAAACTGTATTTGCATTAAGGACACGTTTAAGCGAAAGTAGTTTACCACTAAACGTTAACAAAAGTGTTGCCATGTGCTCTTCATTGGAAAAATGTGATGTTTACCCAGCCATGACCAGCGCTATTATAGCAACATTCATTACACTGACTTGTTCCATTGTTAAAAGAACCTCCCCCTCCCCCACAGGAAATATGTTCATTAGCCCCACCACTTCCCCCAGAATAACCTCCACCTCCGCCCGGTCCCTTCCCTCCTCGACAAAAACCACCGCCACCTCCAAACCCACCCCAATACACTCCACCCACTCCTCCTTGATGATATCCGAAACCTCCTTTCCCCCCACTAAACAACTTTTGGCACGTTGAATCGTGTCCATTTGTGTGGAAGCCGCCGCCGCCGCCGCCACCTATAATACAATCAAAAAGTGATCAGTGGTTCTCTTAAAAATAGCACCTATAAATTTGAGTTATTGCGATCAAACAACGATTGCAGTGTTTCGCAACGAGGTTTATTTCTTTATTTTTTTGAGGCTTAATTATTGCATGGATATTGTTAATGAAAAGCTTGTGAGGACAAGTCAGCTTTAGGGTTAGCTTCGACTCTCTGTTTAGTGTTTCTATTTAATCCAGGTTCAATATTAGCGAATAAGAAGCCTTGTCATCTGTTTCGACGTCTTCTCCTGCCGTATATTCGCGGATCGCTATAGAGAATTGGACAAATGTGCAGGAAATTCAAAAAAGGAAAAAGCCAAATCTGACAGAATTTTAACTGCTTGTATGAGGCGTTTCCAAAGTATTATGAAAGGAAAACTTCAAAATAATTTCGATAACTATTGATTTAATAAATCATTCAAAATCTGATTATTAGCGACTTACTCTCTCATTTGGTTGAAGATCCTGAAGGATGGCAGTGGAATGCAACGAAAATCTTAGTATTTGTAAAAAGAAAATTCTCCACCTACCAGAAAACCAACCATTTGTAGGTCCTCCATGTCCGTTGCTTCCCCCCGAACCCAATGGCGAGTTGTCCCCTGCATTCCCTGTGGTGCTTGTGGACGCATCACATCTCAGATGTTGTTCTGACATATTTTTAATTCCCCCTCCACCTCCAGCTATAATCAAAGGCGTGTTGTCTTCTTTCACTACAAATGTACCTCCTCCGCCTCCAGCAGTTTGTTTGTCGTGATCTCCTCTTTTCCCTTTTTGACCAACAAGGACATGTATGATCTCATCTTTTGTCAAATTAAAGTGTCCAATCATCCGTGCCCCTCTTCCTCCGTTCTTGATGATACTGTCCTCACCGTATCCCCCGGAAGCTCCTATTGCTTCTATTCTGTATTCACCAGTATGTGGCACAGTCCACTGTTGAATACCGCTGGACACTGCAACTTGTCCGTCATGATCCTGACCTGTGTAGTAACTACCAATCGACTCTGAACCTTTCCTTCCACTCTTACCAAGATTTGTAAACACAGCTGTAAACCCTGTGCAATAAACACAAAATAAAAGGGAGAATTTTGATACTAGTAAGAATTTGTCAAAAATGTAGTAGGAATTGTTTATAATGCCCACTACCACTTAGGAAAAAGATTCCTGTAAATTCGGCAGAAAAAGATAAAGAAGAAAAATCTCCTGAGAATTCCTCTAACAAGTAAGAATACTTGGTTGATACATCGCCTAAGATCCAATGAAAGATTAAATCAGTAGGAGTCAGAGGCGCTGAAAGAATAAATCAATCAATCAAAATGCACGTTTCCTGGCCCACGGGACGCTTTTTCCGAAAAGTGGAGAGGACGGGAAATGTCAAGAAAGCGCCCTGATGGCAAGGTTGACCTTGTGCAGCAGAAGGAAAAAATTCTCAGGAATAAAGTTTCGATGGCAGTAAGAAGTTTGCTTACCATTCGTGATAAAAAGATTCGTGAAATCTTAAGAGACAGAAATGAGATGAAGAATGCTCAACAGATTGTGCAAAGTAGACAAGAATACCATTAAAAAATGCTTTAAAAAAGAGGAAGATGGAACGAATCTTGACGTCAATAGATGACACAAACCGTAAACCGTTATCTTTTACAGAATGGATGAATAAACATATCCCTGTGGTGTCTCCCTCAATGCAAAATAGTGGCCTGAATTAAAAAGAAGCTAAAGAGAAAAGCACTTCTTCCCCTGTGCCACGAGTTTCTTTCTTCTCTTTCCTGGTATCAAACTTTGTCTTTAGACATACCTAGAATCTCGCAGCGTGCCTGGCCTACTCTTCTGCTTCTGCTCTCGATTCCGATACCGAAATTTCAGGTTGGTCACCACCGAGATGAAAAACCCTGTATCTTTTCATAGTAAAAAGGCCTAAACTTTGAGGAGAGTTTTGAGGATAGGACTGTTTTGAAATTTCTGTAAATGCATTTTCCTTATCTATCTACTTAACTGTGCGTTACAAATTTGAAGAGAATCTACAAACTAATTAATCTTGGGAGTTCAGTTAAAGATGAAAAGACATTTTTTTCTTGACTATCTAGTTAAGAACGTTGTTAGAAATGTGAGTGAATTGGTTCCTCACGGCCCAAACCAAAACTTTTGATCTTAAAATGTAAAATCAAAAACAAACAAAAAAAAAGTCTGAAGATTACAAGGGTAGCAAGTACTTACTCTGAGTAGAGTCTATGCCATTTCCACGAAGTCCATCTTTACAAGTGCATTTGTAAGATCCAATGATGTTGTGGCAATCAGCATTCATATTACACTCGTGTGTTCCATCGTTACACTCATCTATATCTAGGACAGCAAAACGAGTGTGAATGATATGAGGGTCATTTGATATTGCTCTGTTGTTCTAATATTTTGGTTTTTTAAAACGCACCACTTTGGCTGTTCAAAAATGTGGGGACAGGTGGCCGCCAAAGGGAGATTCTTGTTCGTGTGCCAGAACTATAGAGATGAACGAATCCGAAGAAAGTGCCGCGGACAGCTTGGAAGAAGCTGATGCCACATATCAAACTTAGGGTTAGATTCCGGTCAAACGATAGGGCTCAGAGACGCACCTTTTATGGTCATTTTCTTCGTTTTAAGGGATAAAGCTTGAAGTGTCGACTCTAAGCCGAATACCTCTGCGCGAAATTCGAAATCATCGGAAATGGCTTAAATGACAAATATAATATGCTTTGGTGGAGGGGTAAGGAAGTCTTCGTTAACAACAACTCATTACTTACCAGGAGATGGAGGGCAAATTTGTGAAGGTACAGAGGAGGAGGGGTTAAACTACACGACATATTAAAGATAAAGAACTCAGGCACTTTCGTGCTATATTTGCTGAAGTAAAGCTGAAAAGCAAGAAAGAACAACTCACATTCAAAATTTAAAAAACCCTCGCGCTACAGTACTGTCATACGAGCATTAACATTCAAAACTCAAAAACTTTCGCACCACTGTCACTCGTGCTAAGAAGTTTGTTCGAACCTCTTCGCGTCCCTTTGAAAAAAAAACGATCTTTCGCGCTGTTATGGCGCGAGCTAAACAAGAAATTATCTTTGCGCCTTCACCAACATTCACATTTATAAAAATTATTGTGCCATAATCGTCTCTGGAACCAACCATGACTCCCTCTGCGACTTCATCGAGCCTAAACATTTTCGCATCCATTACGTCTTTAAAAAACTCACGCTCTTTCGAGCTACTGTTGCCCAAGCCGCACAAGGAACTCCCTTTGCAACTTACTAAACATTCAAATCATAAATTTTCGCGCTCTTGTTGCACGAGCCATACAATTAACTCTTTCTACAACTTCCTAACCATTCAGCCCGTTTTGCGTATTTCTAAAAATCACGCTCTTTCGTGCCATCATTGCACGAGACGAACAAAAAACTATCTGCGACATCATCAACAGTGTGTATTCGAAAATATTTTAGCGCCATTGTCGATCGAGCCAAAAAATTACAATATTTTGGCTATTGTCTCTCTATGAAACTCCCTCTGCGATTTCACTGAGCCCAAAAGTTTTCCGTGTCGTTCAGAAAATCACCCACTTTTGCCTTACTGTCGTTCAAGCTTATCGAAAAACCCTACTTTTTGAAGTAATCGTCATCCAAAATCACAAACCTTCGCTCTCTTGTCGATCGAAGCCCACTTTTTCTTGAACTATAAATCGAGTTTACTGTTTTGAAATTTGCGCTCTTTCTACGTCATTTTTCTCTCGTTCTACAGTGAAAGGTCTACATCGCAATAACAATGCTAAGGTAACTCACAGATTATAGAGACGCATGTCGCAAGAAAAAACAGTTGCTTTGGTTTAGCGTCATTGATATCCAGTGGTTATTCACCTGTTAAAGAATTTCACGAAAATGTTCTTGAAGTTTAAGCAAGAAAAACCCTCGCATGTCCCCGAGCCAGAAATGCGAACTGGCATAATTCCCTTCAGCTTATTAAGGCATGCGACGCAGAAAAAAAGTCCACGAGAATGAGAAATAAGCCAATTGAAGAGAGAAAAAGCGATGGCTTTGTTAGAAGAAGCATGCGAGGAGGCGAATGATACTCTCATAAGAAGGTTTGGAGGCAGTGGCCTCACTTACGTGTCTGTATATTTCCTGAACCAGCAACTAATCTCATAGTTGATCTTCTTATTGGTCAAGACCAGATGATCTTCATTTTGCAAAGGTTGAGTTGAGAGAAAAACTGGAGGAGAAGCAATCGCTAGACTAAGGCCGTTGGGGTGGTCGAATATTGGCTGTCCAGAAGGAAAAGCGTCGAGGAAGACGAACAGAACTAATCTCGCTAGTACCTTTTTTAAGCAGATCAAAGGCATTTAACGAACTGAACGATCCTATGAAGCGGTTCTAGGAAGTTGACACCTTAGGCGTCGACGAAAATTATGCAATACCGATAAAAAGAGAGGAGGAGATGGTACTTGATAAGGTTCTAGTCTCATTCGTTCACGATGGAGAGCGTTACCAAGTTGCCACACCTTATAATCATGACCGTCCGTCGTTACCGGACAACTAAAGATGGCCTTCAGCCGCCTTAGAAATACAGAGAAGCGTTTAAATCGACAATATTTACTAGGAGAAGACTATCAGAACGTTATTGCATCTTACCCCGAAAAGGAGCCACAGTGTCAGTGGTACCTCCCTTACCTCTCTGTATGCCGTCCTGAGAGGTGCATTACAAAGACGAGAACCGTATTTGATACCAGTGCAAAGTTTCAAGATACATCTTTAAACGATAAAATTCCACTGGACCCCAAGCTTGAAGCAGATCCGTTCGAAGGCCTCCTACTCTTTCGCCGTTTTCAAGTAGCCATTGCATGTGACGTCAGTGAAATGTACTTACAAATAAACATCTCGCCTCTAGACCGTTCGATGTTTGGATTTCTTCGGAGGAATTTGGAAGTTAATCGAAATCCCGATGAAAATGACTTCGTGTTTGGTGATGCATCCGCTCCGCTTCGTGCCCAGTTTGTGTCTCAGGAAACACCAAGAAATAATAGAGAGAATTTACCTCATGCCTCCGAAACTGTCCAGAAGTCAACATACATATGCAGATACAATTCTTTGACAGTGCAATCCATTTGTTCAAAGAACTTCAAGATCTGCGGAATAAAGTAGGAGAGAAGGCTCGTATATAGTTAGTTTACTCTCCGGAGGTGCTATCAGTCAGTCCACAGAAACTCAGAGCACTCGAAATTAACCTTAGCCACGACACTTTGTCAGTGACAAAAACTTTCGGAATTCTGTAGAATGCTCTGAATGATGTTTTCTCTCCTCGAATCACAACTCCAGTTGAAGGTCTATCGTGGGGATAGTAACCGAAATACTTGATCCATTAGGTCTCGCCAATCCGTTCATAGTCCAAGCAAAGATCCTTACTCAAGATTTGCGGGAAATGGGGGATGGGGTGATACTGTTACTCAAGATATCGCTGTGCAAGCCGAATGACGGTTTCTAGAGCTGGAGATCTTGAAATAAATCACATTTCTTAGAAGTCTAAGGGAGTCAAAAGTGGAGAGATCGAGCAGCGCCCTCACTTTCATGGAAGCATAAAGAGTGTTCATGGGATATTAAGCTATCTAAGATGTTCCTACGATAAAGAGTATTACAAGTCTTCATGATTGCATCCAAGACCAAGCTTGCTCCTTTCACGCTTATCACAACACTTCGATCGGAGTTACCAGCTTACACATGTTCCCGTGGAATGGACGTCAAATACATCGTGACAATTCAACTTCGGTGGCAAGTTCTGCAATTTCTTTCTCAAGCAGAAGGACAATATATCATATCAATATGGCGGACGGTCACGTTTTTAGAGCTCTTAGATGCTGGATCATTCTGCTTTATTTCTACGTTTGTTTCTCTGGTGCACTCCTTCCCAAGGCTAATCCTGACCTCGATATATCTGGTGATACTCTTCTCTTCATTTCTCACGGTCTGACGACAGTGAGAATTCAACCTTTTAACCATCGGTCACCGAGCTCGCAACATGCAAAGAATCTCCAGTTGCC